GGTGGGGGGGGCACAGAAAAAGAAAAAAAAAACTATCAATCAATAAATAAGTAAATAAATATTAATTAAATATATTTATGAATGAATAAATAGGGGCTGGCAGGTGGCATGGTGGTTAAGGGCACTGGACTCCCACATGGCTGACCATGGCTCGAGTCCTGGACCTGGCGGCTTGCTTTCTCAATTTCCTTCTCTCTCTCTCTCTCTTCCCCACCCCTTACTCTGTCCCTCTCTAGTCACATTAAAATAAAATAAATAACATTAAATAATTCTTTAAAAATAAATGGTAAATAAAATTAAACAAAGTAATTCTTTAAAAAAAAAAAAGGCTGGGGGCTACAGGTGGTGTGGTTAGGTTGCTGGACTCCCACATGGCCGACTGTGGTTCAAGTCCTGCGCTCTCTCTCTCTCTCTCTCCCTCTCTCTCTCTCGCTGTGTGTGTGTGTGTGTGTGTGTGTGTGTGTGTGTCTGTTGAGTACATGTGTCCTATAGCAAATTAAAAAATAATGATGATATTAAATAAAATGAAGTAATTCTTTAAGAAAAAAAAAAGGCTGAGTGCCCTGGTGAGCTCATCTGATGGAGTAGGGCCAAGCTAGATTAGCAGGCAACCCAATACTTTATCCAGTATATAAAATACTATGTTGGGACCAGTATGTCGCTGGACTCCCACAGTGCCAACCAACCATGGGTTGAATCCCGGACCTGGTAAATTGAAACTCATGCCGGGTGCATGTACATACATGCCCAAGATCCTGGGAGGAGAAAGGAGAAAGATCTGCAGTGTGGCCATCCTCCCTGGAGGGTGATTTCTTGCTTTCCCTCTCACTGTATCTGTGTGTGTGTGTCTCTCTCTGTCTCCAGCAAACACACATGCCCTTAGGCAAAAAAAAAACTCTAAAAAATTAATATATAAAATACTGTGTGACAGTGACAATAAAGTAAACCCATGTTAGTAAACGCTAATCAAAAAATTAGAAGAATGTTCAAGTGTGAATCTAGAAATGGGTGGCTATTTACTTGAAAAAGTGGGCTGTTTGGTGGAATTATAATTATTTTGGCCATCTGTCCTTCATAGAGTGTATTAAATATTAGATTTCCTATATGAATTCCAAATTGACTTAATTACAAATTGACTTATTTATAAGTTGTACTACTATTTTTTTTTTTTTGGAGAGGTTTTTGCTACAGGGTGCATGCGCTTTCCAGAAAGAGACAGAAAGCGAAAAATCACCCCACAGGGAGGATGGCCATGCTACAATCCCTTCTCCTCTCGGGATCTTGGGCACACACACACACGCACCTGGCATGAGTTTAAGCCACTGGGTTCAGGACTCGAATCACATACGCCAACTGCTGGTCCCTATTTAATTTATTTTTTAAAAGAATTATTTTATTTAACTTTTATTTATTTATTCATCTTTAAATTTGACCAGAGAGGGACACAATGAGAGAGAGAGAGAAGAAAAATGAGAAAGCAAGCCACCAGGGAATTGAACTGTGGTCGGCATGTGGGAGTCCAGCACCCCCAACCACATGACACATGGTTGCCTGTCTCCCCTTTTTTAAAAAAGTGCTGTAACCATCATGCCACCTGCTGCTCCCAGTCATGAATTTTTATATAAGGAACTGTCAAAAGTTTTCTATTTCATTTTTTTCCTAAAAAAAAAAAAAATCCATGTTATAATTATTGTTTTTTAATTTGATCAGAGAGAGACAGAGAAAAGGAAAGCAAGAAAGCAAACTGCCAGATCCAGAACTTGAACTGAGCTCAGCCATTTTATTTAATAATTTGTTATAGGGCATGTGCTCTCACCGGAAAGAGAGAGGGGTAGAGAGAGAGAGAATGACTGAGAAAGTCTCTAGCTATGGGACTCAAACCACAGTCAGCCACGTGGTAGTCCCGTACCTCAATCACCATGCCACCTGCTGGACCTTAGAATTATTTATTTAATTGTATTTATTATGATTATCTTTTACTTACCTTGTTTTTAAAGAGGTTTGGGGTGTGTGTGTGTGTATATACACGCACACTTTAGGGCACATGCACTCATTGAAGAGAGAGACAGAAACAGTGAGAAGGAAAGTAAGAAATCACCCCCTGGTGGAATGGCCACACCATAATCCCTCCTCCTCCTGGGATCTTGGACAAGCACATACACATGCCCAATGTGAGTTTCAAGTCACCAGGTCTGGGACTTGAACCATGGTCGGCCATGTGGGAGTCCAACAATGTAACTACTATGCCATCTGCTGGCTCCTATTATTATCTTTTCCAATTTTTTGGGTATAGGACATGTGACCTTACCAGAGAGAGACAGAGAGGAGGGGTGGGGAGGTGAGAAACAAGTCACCAGGTCCAGGACTCGAACCATGGTCGGCCATGTAGAGTCCAACGACATACCCGCTACGCCATCTGCTGGCCCATCAATTGCTGCTTTTAAAGATGAATTTACAAGGCTAAAATTGGGTTCAAAGCATCGTATAACAAGCAAGGTATGTAGCAGTCCCAACTCACGAGATAAGACTGGAGCACTCACTGGCTCATCTACCAAAGCAGGACCGGCTTCTCTGCTCTCAGAAGCACCACTCCTCTCAGAGACAGAAGTTACTCTCACTGGATTATCTCCTTACATTGGATTCAGAAAAAGAAAGAGGCAGAGAGATAGAAAGCAAGAAATCACCCCCCAGGGGGGATGGTCACGCCGCAATCCCTTCTCCTCCATTCTCCTCTCGGGATTTTAGGAATGGACACACATGTGCCCAGTGTGAGTTTTACGTCACTAGGTCTGGGACATGAACTTCAATCAACTATGTGGAAGTCCAATGCCATAACCACCATGCCACCTACTGGTCCAATCATGAATTTTTATATAAGGAACTGTTAAAAATTTTCTATTTCATCTTTTTCTTAAAAAAAGATCCATTTGTGGGAACCAGCAGTTAGCGTAATGGCTATGTCGCTGGACTCCCACGTAGTCGACCGCAGTTCGTGTCCCGGACCCGGTGGCTTAAAACTCACGCCGG